CCCAACCTCATTCTTTAATGAAATAGAGGAAGCAATAAAAAAAATTCATATGGGGGGGGCTGGGAAGGTGGCTCAGTGGTAGAGCGCTTGCCTTGCATGCATGAGGCCCTGAGTTCGATTCCTCAGCACCACGTAAGCAGAAAAAAAAGCCGGAAGTGGTGATGTGGCTCAAGTGGTAGAGCACTAGCCTTGAGCTGAAGAGCTGAGGGACAGCGCCCAGGCCCAGAGTTCAGGCCCACGACCGGACCCAAAAGAAAAAACAAAAAAATAATTCATATGGAACAATAAAAGACCCCAAATAGAAAAAACAATCCTTAATAGAAAAAACAATGCTGGAAGAATATCAATACCAAACTTCGAACTCTTATTACAAAGCTATAGTAATCAAAACAGTTTGGTATTAGCACAAAAACAGACCTAAGAACCAAGGGAATGGAACTGAAGACCCAGAAATGTACCCACCGACCTATAGCCAACTAATCTTTGACAAGGAGGCAAAAAATAAGATGGAAGAAAGACAGCCTTTTTAGTAAATGGTGCTGGCAAAATTGGTTAAACACCTGTAGAAAACTAAAATTAGATCCTTATATATCACTCTACACCAGAATCAACTACAAATGGATCAAAGACCTTGAGGTACAAGCAGACTCCCTAAAAATACCACAGGAAGGAATAGGAGAAACTCTAGGGTTCCTTGGCAAAGGCTGAAATTTTCTTTCTTTCTTTTTTTTTTTGAGGGAGGGGGGAGCGGTCCGGTTGTGTGGCCTGAACTCTGGTCCTAGGCGCTGTCCCTCAGCTCTTCAGCTCAAGGCTAACACTCTACCACTTGAGCCACAGCGCCATTTCTGGCTTTTTTCTTTTTGCTTATGTGGTGCTGAGGAATCAAACCCAGGGCCTCATGCATGGAAGGCAAGCGCTCTACCACTGAGCCACCTTCCCAGCCCCCCGAAATTTTATTTTCTTTTTTCTTTTTTTTCAAAAGTGCATTCTATTTTATTGATTAACCAAAATTTTCTTAATAAAGACACAATGTTGTCTTCAAATACACCTGAATGTTGTCCTCAAATAAGTTTGCCAGTGAAAGGAACCAGAGACCTTTGGTGCAGTATCTGCTTCAATATCTTAGGACAGGGAGAATAAAATGGACCTTGAGTATCTCTCTCTCGCACGCGCGTGCACGTGCACGCAAAAGCATGCTTCCAAGACTATCCAACACAATATTTTATTTATTTTTGCTTTGTTTTGTTTTGTTAAGATGGGGTTTATATAGCCCAGACATTAATTTTTAAAGCAATGGTTCTCTGAAGAGCCACCTAGGCCTGTTTTTAAAAAAGATAGGCCAGCACAGTGGTACACACCTATAATCCCTATACTCTGGAACTTGAGGCAGGAGACTACCAGTTTGAGCTAGTCTGGGATAAATAGATCTATACGTATTTTATGTTCAAGTTTTTGGTCTGCATCACAATTCTGTCATCCCAGAGACATGAAGAAGCACAAGTAGGAGGATCGAAGCCATGCCTGCACAGTCATATTAAGATCCTATCTTGAAAATGACCAAGACAAAAAAAGGGATAGGAGGTGTGACTCACACCATAAGAGAGCACCTGCCTAGCAATTCAACCCTCCATACCACTATATATATAGATATAGTTTTTATATAAATACTTTATATATATAGTTTATATATATATATATATATATATTTAAGCTATAAACTTCCAACTATACCCCAAAATAGAATATGGTATAATGGAGACCCTTCCTTCATGGATCTAGCATTTCATGGTTGGAGGCATGGTTCAGTCAATGAGTGAAAGCACCAGATACTGAGTTCAAATCCAGGTCTCAGACAAACAAAAAAACATGGGCTGGAAATATGGCTTAGCGGTAGAGTGCTTGCATAGCATGCATGAAGCCCTGGGTTCAATTCCTCAGTACCACATAAACAGAGAAAGCCGGAAGTGGCAGTGTGGCTCAAGTGGTAGAGTACTAGCCTTGAGCAAAAGAAGCTCAGGGACAGTGCCCAGGCCCTGAGTCCAAACCCCAGGACTGGAAGAAGGAGGATCAGGAGGAGTAGGAAGATGAGGAAGAGGAGAAGGAAAGAAAGAAAGAGCGAGAAAGGGAGTGAGGGAGGGAGTGAGGGAGGGAGGGAATAAAAAGAAAAGGAAAAAAACTAGCGTTTTGTCAATGTTGTTTCATCTCCTCCATGCCACTATTGTTTTCTTGTTAATTTGGTTGGTTGTTTTTTCTTTACCACCTCATTACCCTTTGGTTTTGTTTTAACTAGAATAAGTAGTAGACATCATGTCTTTTCACCTAGAAATACTTTGGTTTATATCTCTAATAAGGACTTTTTGGTTTATGAAAACTCAATGCCATAACCCCTCCTGGAAAAAAAAGCAATAATTCACTATTATCATCTAATATGAAATCCATATTCAAAATTCTCCAATTGTCTCAAAAGTGTCTTCTTACTTAATGCAGATCCAAGCAAGCCACATACATTTATCTTCTGCCTTTCAAGTATCTTATTCTTTCTTCTTTTTTTTTTCAATTTGTTTTTGCTGGTACTTGGGGCTGTAAGCTCTTGCTCAATGATTTCACACAAAGCTGGTGCTCTACCACTGGAGCCATACCTCTACTTCTGGCCTTGCTTTCTGTTCAACTGGAGATAAGAGTCTCACAAACTTTTCTGCTCACACTGACTTTCAACTGCAATCCTCGGATCTCAGCTTCCTAAGTACCAGTATTACAGGTATGAGGCACTAGTACCTTCTGTAGTTTGTATCCTACGGATTTGTTGAATAAAGAACATCATTTGCCTTGTAGACTGTCCATCCTATATTTGGCTGAGGCTACATGGATTTACAAAACATCTGAACAGCTAATTTTTATGTCAGAATGAGAAGACGACCTTAATAATAATAGCCTGATGACATCAATTGTATTGATCATTATGCATTCGTGAGCTTATGTTATCCCCACAACAATGCTGGGAGGTAAGTAGTATTCTCATCCTTAGAGAGGTTTGTTAGGTTTTTAAAAAGAGGTAACCGAGTAAGAACTGCAGCAGCACGCACATGGTATTCAGGTAAGGGTTAGGTTTATTCAGTAGACCTGCTGGGACCAGGCAAGGTTGGCACTCCACGTGGCTGGGAAAGAGAGAGAGCAAGAAAAGAACAGAGAGAGAGCTAGAACAGAGAAAGCAAGAAAAGAGCAGAAAAGAAGAGCAAGAGCAAGGGAGGAAGAGAGCGTCTGGGCCTGGGTTAGGCCTTATGTAGGGTATGGGCGGGGAAAGGTGTGGCCACATCAAATTCAGATGTGACCTCAGCGGATGCAGATGTGACCTCTTCCAGGTGTCCCAGTTGCCTAGGTAATGCAGGTAATGGGTGGAGACTTTGCTGCGAGGAGGGTGGAGTCTGCTAGCCATCTAGGAGCGGACCTTACAAGGTTAATTTGCCCAAGGTTACACAGCCAGGAAGTTGTAGAGCCAAGATCTAAGACCAGGCAGTTTGGCTCTGGTGTCTGAGGTTCTTCACCATAGGAAAGCTTATTTATGGCCACTGACACTTTCCAAGGCTAAGATTGAAGGAAGACCCAGACCAGAGCTTCCTTTCCAAGACAAGCCACTTGAACTGACCGCTCATGTTAGCTATACAATGAAAAGCTTAGGCCACTATTTTCCTTGAGAGGCATTATGATCCCCATTTTAGAGATGAGGTCCAGAGGGGTAGCATCCTTTACTGAAAGACCCCCTGTGACTCAAGCAAGTTCACTTTTTCTGGGCTGCAGTCTCCTTAAGCAGTGATTTTGAACCCAGGTCTGAGGCTCTACCTGAGTGAGCCAGGACCTCTGTCTCACCAGCTTATGACTTCACAGGAGGCTACAGGGCCAAGTCTGAGACTGGAAACACTGGCCTCAGGATGGGATACTCAAGAAGCACAGGGTTAGCTGAGAACAGACATGGTCTGACTGGCCAGTCTTGATTGATATGCTGCAGTCAATTCTGATAGGAAACGCTGCCCAGAGAGAAATACTCAGGGACACAAAGCCCTCCTACTCCAGTGCATACTAGTCTATACCCCTTGCTCAAAGCTCCTGGCCTCATTTTTTTCATCTTCAAAATGGGGATAATCTCTTCCAAGGATCAGTAAAAAAAAACTTTTTCTGCAAAGGGCCAGTCGTATTTTATGACTTGCTGGGCCAGACTGTCTCTGCCCCTGCCACTCTGCCCTACAGCTACAACCAGTAAAGGAAATGGCTGTGACCAGCAGCCAACGTCACTTACAAAAATAAGGTCGCTAGTGGGGTTTGGCTTGCAGGCAAGCCTATTCCTGACCTACCTCACATTACAGCTGAGGAAAAGGTGGCAGATGCACTGTGTACTGTGCAAGCGCGGGCACTTTTTAGAGCAGCTGCGGGGCAGCTTATGCCTGTAATTCTAGCTATTCAGGAGCTGCGATCTGGAGGATTCCCCGTTCAAAGCCAGCCCAAATTCCTCCAAAATAACCTGCAAAAAGCAGAGCTGGAGGTGTGGGCTAAGTGGTAGAGAGCCAGCCCAGCAGGCCAAACATGCCAATTCAGAGCCAGTGGGCGGTTCCACCAAGTGGGCATGGGCGTGGCCGCCTGACTGGGCGAGGACGGAAGGGCTGCGCCACTGGCCGCCAGGGGACGCAGGCAGGCCTGCCGTTCCGAGGTGAAAGGGGACTGCCAACGTCCCGGCTCCTAAGGACCGCCCCCAAGGGCCTCCGGTGCTGCCCTGAGCGTCGGCTGGGTGACGCGTCCCCCCGCCACACGAAATATCCCACGGGTGCGGCGCCCCGCCGCTTCCGGACCCCAAGAACTGGGAGCCGAACCCCGACCAGCCCTTCCACACCGCCCCCCACCCCACCGACTGGGGATAACTTCCGGTCCCGCCCCTTTGGAGCTCCGCCCCCACAGCCCCTTACGGGTTAGCAGAGCGCCAAGCCCCGCCCTAAAGGCTCCGCCCCCCAGCGCGCAGACCGGCGTGCTTTGCGGCCGTCCGGCGTGCTGGTTCTTCGTGGGGGCCGCGGCTGAGGTGAGCGCGGCGAGCGGGGCGGGCGCCGGGTGGCCTGGGAAGCCACTCTTGGCTCCTAGATTCCCGGCGGGGTCGTGTTCGTGCTACTGAGTAGTCCTAGGGTCCCAGGGTGGAAGTATGGCCGGGACCCATGGCCTCCCAGGTCTCCGCGGCCCGCCTCCCAGGCGATCCCCGAGCTCGCCTGGGCGCTGGCGGCCCGAGGGGCTCGGGGATCTGGACGCAGACCTCCAGCTTCCGGGTTGGGAAGCATTGCAGGACTGCGGGGACGTGGGCGGGAGCTCCGGATTAAAGTGGGCGGAGCAGTTAGTTACCCTGCATGCTTGTCTGCCACCACACCTTGCTCAGTAAACACTGCCTTTCACAGATGGGAAGACGGTGGGTTTCAACCATAGTCAATTGGGATCATTAGTGACATTCACTGACGAAATGGTAGAGCATTTCTCAAAAGTAACTGTCAGACCAAGAAATGTACTCATTGCCTTACTCATGTAACTGTAACCCCTCTGTACAGCATCTTCACAAGAAAATAAAGAATTTTTTAAAAAATAACCTGTCAGAAAAGGGGTGGGGTAGGAAGGTGAAACCGTATTAGCTTTGAGTTGATGCTGAGAGAAGTTGACATGCTTTGTTGTTGTTGCCAATCCTGGGGCTTGAACTCAGGGCCTGCACACTGTCCCTGAGCCTTTCTGTGCTCAAGGCTAGCACTCTACCACTTGAGCCACAGCGCCACTTCCGTCCTTACTGTTTATGTGGTACTGAGGAATGGAACCCAGGGCTTCATGCGTGCTATGCAAGCACTCTACCACTAAGCCACATTCCCAGTCCTTGACATGCTTTTTGGGGGATGGCTCTCAATTTTATTGTTTTTGGCTAGTGGTCTGCCACCAGTCTAGTATTTTACTGGTTCATTGGAGATAGTGTCAGACTTTTCTGACCTAGTAAACCATGGTCTTCTCATCCCAGCCTCCTGAGAAGCTTAGATAACAGATGTGAGCCACTAGCACAGTGCCTTGGCATGCAGTTTTTTCCACTATTATATGTGATTTAGCATAACAAGTTGTCCAAAATGACAAGTTTGCTGTGGACATCCCTCAGTCTATAACAAACACTGCACCTGTGTTTGCTGGCTAGGCTTGCTACAAGAAAGTACCACAGACTGGATGACCTGATCTGCAATGTATTTTCTCACAGTTTTAGAGGCTAAAAGTTTAAGACCTAGATATAGGCAGGTATGGTATCACTTGAGGCCTTTCTCCTTGGCTAGCAGATGGTCATTTTCTTCCAAGATGCTCCTGTTCCCTCTGTGTGTTTACATCCCAGTCTCTTTTTATAAAGGCACCAGATTGGATTAGAGCACATCCTCATTTTCCTTTCCTTTCTCAAGACCCTAACAACAGCCATAATCTCATATACTGAGAACTTGACCTTCAGTATGTGAAGTTGGAGGGACACAAATCAGTTCATAACACTGCCACTTTGGGTTAGAAGTGTGGTAATAGAACATTTGATGAAGGTGGTCCTGAGTTCAAATCCCAGTAACACACACACACACACACACACAAAGAGATCCTTGGCACTTTGATCCATTTGCTTAACTGTCTGTACATCAGATTTGTGTGTGTGTTTTTGGTATCCTCAGGTTCCACATCTAGAGATTTGACCAGTCACAGGTCCCAAATATTTGGGGGGAAAAATTATCCATAGGTACAGACTTCTTTCTTTTCATTACACCTTAAACAATACAGAATAACAACCATATACATAGCATTTGCATTGTCTTTGGTGTTTTAAGTAAACCAGGGATGATTTTAAATACATGGAGAATGTATGGAGGTAATACATAAATACTAAACCATTTGTGTAAGACTGTAGCATCTGTGAATTTGAGTTATCTGTAAGGATGCTGGAACCAATCCCTTGCAGATATAGAGGGACCACTATGGTGTGTGTTGTGTGTGTATAAATGTATATATATATATAAATACTTCTTTATGTTTATTAGGAATAATTGTTTAAAATTGTTTATTACCTAATAGTTTACTCAGCATTATTCATTAATAGAGCTGGTCCTTCATAACCATGGATACATCCATGGATTCAACTAACCAAAGGTTGAAAGCACTTACTTTTTTCCCTTGCAGTTAATCCTTAGGCAATAGGAGATAAACATACATTGTAGTTGACTGCAACCAGGGACAGCAGGACGGGATACTGGAGCTGAAGAAACAAGAAAGGAGACAGAGGATAGAAGAACAGGGTACCAGGGGTCCAGCATCCACTGGCTTTTGAAGCCCTAGCTCCCATAAGTGAGTTTATTTGTTTAGTTTAGTACAGGAAAAAAATTACTATAGGTGGTACAGAAAACAAGCTGTTAATCTATCTTGTGGTTACAATCATTAACATAAGACATAATTTGTATACATAGTAATAACTAACTTCCTATAGCTAGGGAACAATGAGAAGTGGTGACCATAACACAAACATTCATCTTATTCCCATTGTCTCGTGTCATAGGGTCCAATCAACTGTGACTCACATACCATCAGGTCCAGTTAAGTTGTAACATGCATTTATCTTGCCTTGCCTGTTTTGACCTTTCCAGAGTCCAGTTTTCAGGCTTCTGAGTACTGAGAAGGTGGTGTTCCAACCTGTTAACCCTTTCCTGACCTCAAAGCTTAGCTCCAAAGTTCCTGAAAATACATGCTGCATTTACATTAGGTATCAGGTATTATAATACTCTAGAGGTGGTTCAAAGTATATGAGAGAATGTGCATATGCTTCAAACATCAACAAACTTCAAAGCAAAGGAGCATCTTCTATTTTAGGACTTCTTGGTCAGACAGTCCCTGTCCTAGCTATTCTGTCTTTATATCAGGAAAGCAGCCACAGACAACCTGTAGTTGATATGCCAATACTGTGCCATTTTACACAAAGAACTTGACCATCCTTTGCTTTTGATATCTACAAGGTGTCCTGGAACTAAGCTCTTATAGATCCTGAGGGACAACTCTATAGGAAAAGTTCTCAGAACTCTGTCTAGCATATAATAAAGTGTTCAACAAGTTAAACATGGGATACATTTTTAGGTTAGTGATCACAAGCTTCACTGTAGGATGGATGGTGGGTAGAATGAAACAGTTGAGTATTTCATGCTGTGCCCAGTCTTGAGAATAAGAATAATAACTACAAGCCAGACACCAGTGGCCCATACCTGAAATCCTAGCTACTCAGGTGGCTGAGATCTGAGGATCATGATTTGAAGCCATCCTGGGCAGGAAAGCCCATGGGATGCTTATCTCTAATTCACACACACACACACATACATACATATACACACAAAGTAGGGTGGCATTGATCAAAAGAAATGTGCTCATTTCCTGATTTATGAAATAGTAACACTGTACATCACCTTTATAATAGCAATTCAAAAAAGGGGGGGGGGGTGCCAGAAGTAGAGCTGTGACTCAAAGTGGTAGAGTGCTAACCTTGAACAAAAACTGCTCAGGACAGCATCCATACCCTGAATTCAAACCCCAATAGTGGCACAAAAAAGTAAATATTACAGCTATTATCAGAAGGAATGTCTGCTTATGCCAGACACTAAAATACTTCTAACCACAGTCATTTTATTACTTAAGTTAAAAAGGATATGGCCAGTGGCTCATGCCTGTAATCCTAGCTACTCAGGAGGCTGAGTTCTGAGGATTACCAGTCTTAAGAAAACTGGGCAAAAAAGTCTGTGAAACTCTTATCTCCAATTAACAACCAAAAAGCCAGGAATAGAATTGTGGCTCAAGCAGTAGGCCACTAGCCTTGAACACAAACACTCAAGGACAGTACCCAGGCCCTGAGTTCAAACCCTAGCATTAGCACCAAAAAAAAAAAAGGATATGGGCATCTGGTTGTGGATGAGCATGCCTATAATTCCGTCTACTTGGGAGGCTGAGGCAGGTGTTTTACCTGGGTAATTTAGCAAGACCAGTCTCAAAATAAAATTAAAAAAAAAAACAGCTGGGAATTGTAGCTCAGTAGTAGAGCCTTTGCCTGGCAATTGCAAGGTCATGGGTTAGTCTCTAGTACTAGAGGGGAAGAAGGAGGAAGAGAAAATAGCCTTGGAGGATGTTCATTCTGCTAGCAGAACTGGGAACCATTGGCTGACTTCTCTTTCTCTTGACCAGGTTGTCACCAGCGACAGTACTGATGGCTGGTCCCCTGTGGAGGGCAGCAGTCTTTGTACAGAGACATAGGACAGCTCTCTTGGTGGGTTCCTGCACAGGCCTGTTTGGAATTCAAATTTCATACCACCTGTGCCCAGATCCCGTGGTCCGGTGGCTATACCAATACTGGCCACAGGGCCAGCCAGCTCCACTCTTCCCAGAGCTGCAGAACCTCTTCCAAGAGGTGCTCCAGGACCTGGGTGTCCCATCAAGCCACTCCTACAAACCCTTTACTACCTTCATCTTCCAGCCTCTGAGTGCCGGCTTCCCAAAACTCCCTGCTGGGGCTGTAGTGGGCATCCCTGCCATCTTCCTGGGTAGCCTAGTAACCACTGATCATCCAGTCATTGTACATGGGCAAAAAGTGGACTGGCAAAGCCCAGCAGGCACTCGGCTAAGAGATGCCTTGACCTTGTCCCATGGTGCCCAGAAATTCGCCTTGGCCAGGGAGGTGGTGTACCTGGAGAGCAGTGCAGCTGCCCTGCAGGCTGTGCCAGCCCCAGCTTGCCTGGCAGGAACCTGGGCACTTAGCGTGTGTGCTAAGCATGCCCTAGGGCTCTATGGAGGCCCTAGGAGCTTACGAGCTGCCTTCAACTTGGCGGCAGCATTGGCAGGCTTTGTGGCTTACGCCTTCTGCACAGACTCTCTCACTCATGCTCTGGAAGGCTGGCTGGACCGTCGCACAGCTTCCCTATCTCCAGACTATGCCCGCGGTGGAGTTGAATTCTATGAGAAGATTCTATCTGGCAACCTGGCCCTGCGCAGCCTTCTAGGCAGGCATGGAGAAAAGCTGTTTGCACCCAGTGGGAACATCATCCCTAAACACTGGTTCCGCATCAAACATTTACCTTACACCACTCGCCGGGACTCTGTACTGCAGGTATGGAGGAGGACACTGAACCAAGACCACTCCTGAGGAACCCCTCACCAGGACATTCCTACCTTGCCTGAGAAGATCTTTTTTTTTTAATTAATTTTTTTATTTTAATTTTATTTTATTTTTATTGTGAAAATACCGTACAGAGGAGTTACAATTACATGGACAAGATAACGAGTACATTCTGAGAAGATTTTTGATGCCTCTGTACCCTTAGCCCAAGGTCACAAAAATGTCAAACCACAGTTAGTGTAGATTCTCTCCTTGCCTACCACTTACAGACTTGGTGACATTAGACAAGTCCTTGTACGATCTGAACCTTCCTTTCCTCAATTGTAAACTAGGGAGAAGACAACTACCTCAAAGAATTACTCAATTGTGTGAAGCCATGAGCAGGAGAAGGGCCTGGCAAACAGCGCCCTAAATAAACAAGGTGTTGCTCCTACTTGGTCTTTGGGTTCTAGTGGACTGTGGAAGTCAGGCTATGTCTCACCACCAAAAATGATTATAGTATGTCAACTCCTGCAACAAACAACCATCCATCTACCTATCTGTCAAACCCCAGTTCCTCCATGGTAGAAGTGAGAAGATTTAAGAGATTAAGATGTGAAGTTAGCCTGAGTTTGCTTTAAGGTAGAGCCTTATGGTTAATGTGATCAGTAGGGTCCTATGGATACAAATGGCACACACAGAGTAGGGAAACCCCAAAGAGAGGTAGGTGGTAAGGAAACCAGGAAAGCCCCTAGACCTAATAAGAGTGAAGTTAATGTGGCAGGAGCTCTGCTTGTAGGTAGAGGAAGGAGAAAAAAAAAATTGCAAAATAGCCTTTACTGTGACAGTCCAAAGCAGGCAGCCTTCCCAGCCACAGAGCATGATCAGGGATTGCAAAGAAGAGGTTCAGTGGGGGAAACTTAGAGGAGAAGAGTAAGTCATTCCAGGTAGAGAGGTGTGCACATATTTCTACTGAACATGAAAGGCCACATGGGCCACCTATTTGGCTGGAGAAATATTATTTGGAGTCTGGACATACTAGGCTTCTCACCACTCCTCACTACTGCCCTATCTGTTCTTAATCTTGGCAAGAGCCAGGATAGCAGCATCAGGCATTCCTGCAGATCTGCCCCAACAGTAAGGTAAGGGCTAGAGGCTGGAGATGTGGAAGATGTTCCAGTGTTTAAATATGACTAGTATAATAGGCATTTTGCACCAATTATACTAGTCATATTTAAACACTGGTGCATTTACTGTTACTGAAGTTGTGAAATTGATATAATCATATATACTCTTAGTGACATAAGATGGCTGCCAGTGATTTATGGACTTACTGTTCTTGACTTTGTGTAATCTCCCCATGCTCCCTTTAGTTCTAAGTAATACAATATGGCAACATTGAGAGTGCTGTAGTTTCAATCTGGAATGTCCCCCAGTGGCCTGAGTGTTAAATGCTTGGTGCCCAGGGTAGCACTTTTGGGAGGTGGTGCAACCTTTGGGAGATGGGAGCTGTGGGGAATCCTTGAGTTATTGAAGATATGCCCTCCAAGGGGCTAGTGGTACCTCAGCCCTTTCCTCATTCTCTCTGCTCCATCATGCATTTCCACCTTGATAGGCCACCTTACCATGGACCTAAAAGCAATGGGGCCAACTATATAGACTGTAAGCTCCAAAACTATGAGCCAAAATAGCCTTGTTACAATTGAGTATCTCAGGTGTCTTTTTTTTTTTTTTTTTTTTTTGGTTGTGGGGCTTGAACTCTGGGCCTGGGAGCTGTCCCTAAGCTCTTCAGCTCAAGTCTTACCAGTTTGAGCCACAATGCCACTTCCAGTTTTCTGGTGGTTAATTGGAGATAAGAGTATCATAGACTTTTCTGCCCAGGCTAGTTTTGAACCATGAACCTCAGATCTCAGCCTCCTGAGTCGCTAGGATTACAGGCATGAGCCACTGGTACCCAGTTCAGGTGTTTTTTGTAGTAAGCAAAGCTATCAGAGGGTACGCCATTGCTGTGATTAAGTTAGAAAATATTGTAACTTCCTAGCAGACTGCTGTTTTATGAAACAAGTTGCCATGCTAGAGAGGCCCAGGTGGCAGGAAGCGTGATAGGGTGGCTTCTGATCAGTAGCTATCAGAAAACAAGACCGCCATCCAACAGCCCACAATGAACTGGATCCTGCCCACAGCCGTATGAATTGGGAAGAGAATCCTTACCCAGACCAGCTTTCAGATGAAGCCTCAGCCTTACCAGCCTTTTTATTGCCGCTTATTGAGAACCCCAGAATCAGAGGGCACAACTAAAGTGTACCTGGATCCTGGCCCCATAGAAATAATGAGGCCATAGGTAATAGGTAAATACTACTTGATAAAATATGGTTAGAAAAAAATATGGTTAAAAAAAAAGAACTTGTGGGCTGGGAAGGTGGCTCAATGGTAGAGCGCTTGCCTTGTATGCCTGAGGCCCTGGGTTCGATTCCTCAGCACCACATAAGCAAAAAGAAAAAAGCCAGAAGTGACGTTGTGGTTCAAATGGTAGAGTACTAGCCTTGAGCTGAAGAGCTGAGGGACAGCGCCCAGGCCCAAAGTTCAGGCCCCACGACCAGACCCCCCCCACCAAAAAAAAAAGAACTTGTAAGCATCACAAACCTATATATTCTGGTCCAATCACACTATAACCCAACAGAAGTTAAATAGTATGTGTTGAAAGACATATTTAAGAACATTAGCAAGCTGGGCGCTGGTGGCTCACACCTGTAAACCTAGCTACTCAGGAGGCTGAGATCTGAGGATCATGGTTCAAAGCCAGCCAGGGCAGGAAACTCCATGAGACTCTTATCTCCAATAAACCACTAGAAAACTGGAAGTGGTACTGTGACTCAAGTGGTAGAGCGCTCACCTTGAGCTGAAGAGCGCAAGGACAGCACCCAAGCCCCACGACCAGCCAAGAAAAGAACATTAGCTATAAATATATTTTTTTTTATTTTTATTGTGTGTGTGCATGCCAGTAATAGGGCTTGAATTCAAGGCCTGGACTTTTTTGCCCAAGACTGGTGCTCTTGTCACTTGAGCCACAGCTCTACTTCCTGCTTTTTAGTGGCTAATTGGAGATAAGAGGGGCTCAGACTTTCCTGCCTGGGCTGGCTTCAAACAACCATCCTCAGATTTCAGCCTCATGAGAATTACAGGGATGAGCCACTGGCACCTAACTAAATACATTTTTAATAGAAATAATTGAAAGGTTGGACAACAGTGACTCAGGAAGTTATTAATTGTGTTTAGCCACTAAAATGTATACTGATAAAAAAAAAACTTATAGGAATTTGTAGAAATATAAATAAGCCAGGCACTGGTTGTTCATGCCTACAATCCTAAATATTCGGGAGGCTGAGTTCTGAGGATCACGGTTTGAAGCCAGCTGGGTCAGGAAAATCCATGAGACTCACTTCCAATTAACCACCAGAAAACTGTGGCTGAAAGTGATAGAGCGCTAACCTTGAGTGAAAAAGCTTAGATACAGCACCCTGAGTTCAAGTTCCGGCCCTGAGTTCAAGCCCCACAACCAGCAAAAAAGAAAAAAAAAGATATAAATATCATATAAAATTCTTAAAAATATAAAGTGCTACCTGCATACTGATTACAAGGACATAAACTAAGCAAGAAATTACAGTCAGAAGCAATGTTATGGTGGAATTTTGAATAATTCTATTCTTAACACGCACACACATGCATTTATATAAAGTCTTGCTTTCTTTTTGCATCAAGGTGACAGATTCTGCATCCCTGCTCTGGCTCTGCATTCTTGGGGTGTGGCCAACCTTCTGTCTGTAACTGTGGCGGCCATGAAAATGTGCTCCTCAGACCTGCTGGGGAGCACACTTGACTGACAGCCCAAGCTGTTGTTTCTCTAGCTCCATCACCACATTCACTTCGAGGCCATGCTTCACCCCCTGCTTTTAGCCAGTGACCACATGGTAGCCATAATCCTGCAGGTGAGTGAATGACCTAAGAACTCCCTGTAGTCTGGGAAAGCCTTTCTTAGAACCCTGATATCTGTGACCCTTCTCCTCCCTCCCCCTGCCTCTTCCATTTCCCTTCTGCCTCTTCCTTCAGGTATTTCTCCCAGTGCAGCTGTCATTCACAGATTCATTTCTTGGTGGTATCTAGGCACAGAGAGCCTCAATTACATCTTTCACCATGCAGGTGTAGTGTGAGCTTAAGCTGAGCCCTACAAAAGAGACTGACAAGCACACCTGCAGTGACATGAGATCAATGCCACGAACTTATGTGAGGAAGCACTGGAAAGGGCAACTAACAGCCTGTAGTGGCGAACAGGGAGGTGCTAAAACCCCAAAGGGTGAGTGAAAGAATTCATACTAGTAACACCCAGTATGTGTATGAGAATGATGCTCACATATCAATGCTTTACATATATTTACTCATCCCCACAATAGTCCCACAGTCTTCTGTTGTATTCTGAATGCTTGTGTCTCTCGCCCTTTCACACACTGAGACCCTGTCCTCCATGTGGCAATATTAAGGGATAGGGCTATTAGGGGCAGAATGGGATTAGTGTCCTTAGAAAAGAGGACCAAAGGAGCTCATGTGCTTCCACCATGCAGAGACACAGAAGACACCATTTATGAGGAGCATGTCCTCATCAGACACCAAATCTGTTGGCACTTTGATCTTGGATTTTCTATCCTCCAGAATTGTGACCCATACATGTCTATGTTTACACATGACTCAGCATAGGGCATTTTGTTATAGTAGCCCAAATAAACTAAGATATCACCATTTTACAGAAGAGGAGATCAAATCGTAGAGAGTTTGAGTAGCTTCCTACCAAGCAGTGTGGGGCACCAGATCTTAACTCAGGCACTTTAGTATCTTTGTTCTTACCACTATCACATTAGCCAGGTAAAATGGGCCAGGGGAAGAACCCAGACAGACGCTAGCAGTGAGGTGGTTCTTACAGCTCAAGTCAGTTCAGGTCCAAAAGGAAACTAAACACACAGTGCTCCAAATGTCATGAAGAACCAGTGGCTCTCTACATCATGACAGGGACTGACTTGTATGAAATAAGGTCTCTGAAAAGTACATGAATAGGGGCTGGGAAGGTGTTCATGGTAGAGTGCTTGCCCTGCATG